GGGTGGGGGGTGGAGGAGGGTGTGTGGTTAACCATGTGGATTAGGAATAAACCTGAGGTGACCTCAGGAGGCCTGAGCCTCAGACTTATGCACAACTAGTCACCCCACAGACAGGAAGTGTTATCTTAAGAGAAAAATGAAAGCCTTGTGCCCTATAGACAGAGCTGCAACCTCCAGGGTGGGACTGGGGGGCTGGAAGGACGCAACTCCTCCCCATGCACCACACATGCTCTGGCCACCCTCACATCTGTTTACAGGCCCCATGAAAGTAAAGCCCTGAAGGTCCCAACTGATCCCATCCTCACTCCTACCCAGGAACATCTGGTGTCCAGGCCAGATTTGGGGATAAGAACTGGTCCACAGAGAAATGCAGGCTGGGGGAGGCACACCCTCATGGTCGGTGACAGCTTAGAGTCCAAGATCAGCCTGTCAGCGGCTCTTCCTTCCTGCTTGGGGCCTCCAAACATCTGGAGGACCATTGTTTTAGGAAGTGTGTCATGGTCTCACTACTGGGAGAGGTGGTACAGACCCCCCCCCTCCAACAAACAAACAATTCCTGTCCCTAAGTAAGGCATTTGTTGGTGACATCGGCACAGTCCCACAGAGCCCACTGGATGAGCTTTGAATCTGCCCAGCAGCCAGAGTCTACCTGCAGCTCAGCCCAGAGGGAAGAACTGTTGGAGAAGGGGGGAAAGGTGACTATGCCAGTCACGTCATTGTGGAAGGAAGAATATGAGAAAGGCGCAGGTATCTCTGGCCAGGAGGAGCACAGCCAGCAGGCAGACCCAGGGACTGGAAGGCCCATTTGTCCTCTGAGAGCAGCAGGTTGCTAAGGGTAAAGTCTCAGCCACAAGAGGCAGAGCTAGGAGTCCCTACTCCAGGCTCATCAATTACAGGACCCCATGTTAATCCTGTAGGAAGTGGGAGCCAGAATCACTCAAAAGACTGGGAGATGTATATGGGCATTCAGCCATGAGGCAGCCGGCCATGTGCTGGGCATGTTCTCAGACAGTCCTGGCTCCATGCCACTGTACCTGGAACAGGAGCCTGACACCCTGTCAACAGGACAAGGCTGGCCTCAGGTTGAGCTTGTTGCCTTTCTCTAGACAGCAGGGCTTTGTTTAGAGCCCTATCTTTGAAGGGCAGAGTCAGTGCTCCATGTCCAGGGATAGAGAGACCAGAGGAAGTACCCATGTCCTGGAAACCAGGTGACACCAGGCTGAGGTTCTGAGATCCTACCCTCAAAGAGGGGTCTTGCTTCAGTTTGAGATGTGGGAAGGGTCCCTCAAGTATGTGTCATTGAGGTTGTGGTGGGGGTGGCACATGGCTTCTTTTTCCCTGCCAGAACACATAGGATACACTCCTAAGCCTTTATCTTGGGGAGGGGCACAAGACATTGTCCATTTTAATGGCCCAACCCTGGGAGTTTCTGTCTTCACAACTGCTCAGCAACCCAAAGTCTAAGTCACAATCTTTCAAAGAAAAGAGGCAGCTATAGAGGAGAGCTGCCATGCCTGCTCTAGGCTCTCTGGAGTGCCCCCAGCCCCTACCCGAGAGTGCTGTGTACTCCAGCCTCTGCTCCTGGCTGTTGAGATGAGCCCAAGTACCTGGGGCCTTCAGATAGCAGTGCTTGTAGGCTGGTACTAATGTCTGTCAACTTATTTCATTTCCACAATGGCTGTAAGACAGGAACCATAGCAGACCCCCACTTTATAAATGAGGAAGCCAGGCCAGAAAGGTTAAGGTAGCTAAACCAAAGGTTCGAAGTAAGTAGGAGGAGCAGGAATCTGAGCCTAAGATTAGGCTGCAAATGGGTCACAGGGTCACATTATGTTAAATGTAGAGTACAGAATTTCAAATGGCTCTACCTACTCTACACTCCTTGTCCCGGTCTGCTGTGGGAGATATGGGGGCGGGGGGACTCACGTGTGTGAGGTGTGAAGGAGGGTGGTCGTGTGGCTCCCTGGGATGCAGTGGGAGGTGGGGGTGGCATGCTGGGGGGTGTGGCCCGGGGCTGTGGCTTCACTTCAGCCGGAGAGTCTGGCATTGCTGCAGCCTTCTCCTTCCTGTCAGCTAAGGAAAAGAGAGAGAAAGAGAAAGATCAAGCAGCTGAGGGCAGAGCTGGCTAGCCAGCACGTGGGCAGGGGCCTGATTTCCACTGGCCAGGTGGACTCCTGATTCCACCCCTCCAGTGGAAGCTCTAAGTGTTCTCACAGGTGGCTAGCATCTATGCACAGGTGAAACATAGAGCCAGGCCAAAGGTGGGCTCGTCAGGACTAGTGTCTGTGCGGGAGCATACAATGCAGGTTTCCATGCTCAAGTCCCGTCTCAATTCGCCTGACCTATGCTGAGTATTGACATTTATAAGATATGTGAAGAGTGATGACCAAATTTCCAGAGTTGTGATTCTCTTCTAGGCCTTGTGTGGGGCGGGAGGGCAGGACGGGTGAGGCAGGTGAACTGGCTTCAGGCATGGAACCACCATTTTAACCATCTCCTGCCCTATGGTCCTTGTGACCCCTATGCGAGGCTTGTGGATGTCAGGGTGCTTAGGGCCTGGCCCCTGAAATGTGACCCACAGGCTCAGGACATCCAGGCTCAACCACATCCCAGTGACCCAATTCTCATCAAGGTGCCCAGATCAGGGTCAGATCAGTAGGATGATAAGATGGTGATGATGGTCAGGGTGAACTGAATATTAGATGGATCCTGGATATCCAAGGGTTCCAGAACAGGACCATGAAGCAAAGGCATGGGGCCAGCCTAAGTCCCGGGGCAGACTTGCTTAGGGCATACTTTGCAGGGGATGGTAAGTCCTGGGGCTTCCCCTTCATCTTAAGGTATGGTCAGGTAGGGTAGGTGAACCTGTGTAAGTTGCTTCTTTGTCATGTGGCCAGCTCTCCAGAGCCAGCAAGGCTCTGGATGGCATCCTGCTTGTGATGGGCAGAAAGCAGACCTCTCTGCCCCAGTGACTGCCTGGCAGCCACGTTCTCATCATATCCACAGGGTCTCCCATGGGGGGAGGTTGGAGACGGGGACTGAGTCACACAGTTCAGAACTCCTTGTATCTTAGCTATCATCATGGCAACTGTGGGCATCACCCCTCAGCCTTTTGCATCCTGCACCCTATTTCAGGGTCCCATCATTGGCAGACACATATGAGTCTAGGTGACCCAGCCTCTGTGGCTGATGATCAGTAAGTGACATCTAGCAGGTGGAAGACCAGAAACAGTGAAGCCCTCATCTAACCCCTTTCCTGGTCTGCAGAGGGGAGAGAAGCTTAAAGACACTTTAGACAAGCCCAGTGGCCCAAGACGGCTGTGTCTGGATCTGCAAGGAAGAGGCAAGAGGCCCCCATCTTTCTGGGCCCACTAGGAGGGGCAGAATGGGAGCAGATGGTACACAGCAGCCACCCAGGCTGCGGCACCTGCTGTCCCCCAGCTGTGGCCTCTGCTCCCCCCCTCCTGCCGGCTCTTGGCCCCTCCCCTCCCCCAACTGTCCAAAGGCTGATGGCTGGGCACATATGTGGCCGCAGCTGTGGTGACCTATCAACACCATGCCTGGCTGAGGGGCTGATGGCCAGTCTCCGGTGACAACAACCAAAGAAGGCAACTGTGGCTGGCTGCTTCAGCATGGAGCAGCCCGTCCTTACCAGCCCTTCACCTGTCCAGTCTGCCCTTGGGCCCTTGGGCAACTGGGGCTGCTTGGGATGGTATTGCCAGGGCCAAATGTCTCAAGTGCCAGGCTGGCCCTGGTCACAAGCCCAGGACATTGGGGACACTCTGTGTCTCTGAAGTCTTTCACAAAGGAGAAGTGGCTTCACCTGAGCCTCAAGTTTTAAACAGAGTAGAACCAATTGAGCAAAGGCACCATTGGCAGCTGGGCTAGGTACTAGTTGTTACCTCTCAGCGCACTTGGTCAGTGCTGGATCATTCATTGGTAGACACACTGGTGCCACAAGCCATGGTACCATGTTGCAGTGGCCACCACTTGCATAACCATGATATCAAAGGCATCCTGCTGGTGCCTGGTGACCTGCAGACACTTAACTTTCTTTTTAATAGGACCAGAATCATAGAGGCCAGAGGTCATCTATCTGCCTCAGAGCCTCAAATGCTCACTGACGCAGGTTGTTCCCAGGGCTTCATGGATCTCATTTGTCCTCATTAAAATCCCATGGTCCTGATTCCACTCAAATCCCATTTCAAAGAGAGGACCAGATACACGGCGGTGCCATGATCTGCCCCAAATCACACATGGATACCGGGATCTAAAGCCAGTGAGTGTGGGGACTTGGAGTCACCTGGTCTCCTGTTTCCAACTAGTCTGCAGCCTCCTAGACCTAGGGTTGCTGCTCCGCTCTGCCTTTACCCTTTCCTGCCTTCCCTCCAGCAGCCTAAGGTGTCCACTTCCCAGCATGCCCTGGGATGTTGTTTCCCTCCCCAGCTCATTCCCTCCTGGCATTTCCTCTGGACTGTCACCCCACTGTAGATACCTTGCTCCCTGGTTGACCCATCTGCAAGGATTCCTCATGACATTGCAGTCCCCAAAAGGTGATGTCTCAGGATAGAGGTCACTGTGGCAGCCCCCAAGAGGAAATATTTTTCTGGAGTACCTTGCCAGGAGCCTCAGAAAAAGGGTATAGGAAGCATGGAGGGCAATGCTGATTGGCCGATTGATAGATGGCCTAGGTCAGGTAGGTGGGGCTGGCTGCTGAGAGAGGCTGTCCCCAGGGGCCTGAGCCCTCTTCTCACCTCCAAAGTATGTACACTGTCCACTTCCCTGAGGTATGTGTCTGTGTGGAGGTATCAAAGGAGGTGAGGGATGTCATTCATAGAACCTGTACCACAGGTATTTATTTACTTATTTGTTTAGAGATTTACTGTGTAGCCAATGATGGTGTTGAATGTCTTGTACTTCTGTCTCCACTTCTGAAGGCTGGGATTACATGAGTGTGTCACCACACCTAGTTTATGGGTGCTGCGGATGGAACCCAGGACTTTGTGCATGCTACAAAAGTGCTCTACCAACTGTGCTGTGTTTCTTTTCCCATTGTCTCACCAGGGTCAACCCCACTACCTCAGCTATACTCCTGCTAGATCTTTAGCCTTCACAGTCTCCTAGAGGTACTGTTACAGCTCCATCTCATAAAGGGGAAAGGAAACTGAGGACCAAGAAGTGATTTCTTCAAAGCCACTTAGCTGTGCAGTACAGATTTGGGTCTTGTCCATCAGTCCCAAGCCACACTGTCCTTTCTATATCCTCCTGCCCAGGTCTGTGTGCCTGGGTTCTGAGTTGTTTCTAGGCAGTTGGACAGAGGTTCTTTTGCCTGCTTAGTTGAACTTTCCATGCTGCAAGGTGAGCAGATGGAAGTAAAAATCACAGCTGTCCTGGGGGCAGCACTGTTGACTATTCCAGGTGACAGCTACTGACCACAGAGCCCCTCCAGGGACCCACCAAAGTTCATGGTTTGTGGTTGTGGCACAGGATTGGAACTGTGTATCAGCTCCAGGCCAAGCCATTGCTGTGAATTCTTTAGTACAGGCAATTGACATAGTGGCTGTTTGCAGCCACAGTGGGGACCATTCAGAAGCATGGAGATACACAGGGAGCCAGATCCATGCCCATGCCCCTAGGGTCAACCTTCACACCCTCAGAAAGGACACAAGGTTGTGTGGCCACCCAATTTGGAGTGCTCACTGGGGAACTTCTGTCATCAGCTTGATAGTGCTCTGAGCCCATACTATGTCTCCTGCTTGCTGTGGCAGGTGTGTGTGTGTGGGTGCTATGGGAGTGCCCAGATCCCTCATCCCAAGGAAATGAGGTAAGGGGCCCATGGCATCATGCAGTCCAACAAATCACTGTCTTCTGTGTGGTGAGGGACATTGGCTTTATGAGGGTCTCAGCAGCCCTCATCCATACAACCCTGCTCCACCTTACGGGTGGGGAAACCAAGGCACAGAGTGGTCTAGTGACTTGTCCTGGATACCCAGCGGAGAAGCCAGCAATAAAACTGGATTTGGATAGCTTGACCCTGCTGGTTTCAGGGGCCCCTGCATTCAGGTGACCTCAGCCAGCCTCTAAGGCCTGTAAAGCACATCCAGTGTCCCATGCTATTTTTTTTTAAGGGCTGATGGTATCCTCCCTCCAGTAATCCTCAGAAAAGAGAGTTTATGGGCTCCCTATCCTGAATCCTAGAAACTGCGCATAGGGCCTGACAGAGTTTTGGGATCCTGAGGGACTTGAATGAGTAGGGAACTCTGAGGCAGTGGCACCCGTACACCATCCCATGGTGCCTGAAGTTGGCAGAGTCTAGATGGTCCCTGGGAAGAAAGAGAGTGAGGGAGGCCTGGCTCCTTCCCCCAGCCCATCCCAGTCTCTGCCACTTCCCTGTTCCCACCCTCCAGAAAATTCCCAGGCCCCATGGCTGCTTGTGGGCCCAGGGGAGCTCCTGTGTCCTCCACGAAGTTACCCAGTTCCCAGCTGAATACCACTGAGTGGAAGCAGCTCTCTAAGGCCAGGCGGAGCCTGTGGGAAAGAACACGGAATGTGCCGGAACAGGCCACACCATCCATCACTGTCCCCATCGGCTGTGGTTCCCAGCCCGCCCTCCCAGCTGGGAACTGGCCTAGGCCCAGCATGGAGCTGACCATCTTTCTGGCTGCGTCTCTCCAGACTTTTGTATTCCTAGCAAATACAGAGCCTGGCTTGCCAGCATAGCCAGACTGACCTCTGAAGTGACATAGGTCACTGTGTATCAACAGGTCTTGGAGGTAACAGACTTGGTGATCACAAAGTCAGGACTGAGACTCTGACCCTGACCCTGACCCAAGTGCTCTGTGCTTGTCACCTCCTGCTGTCCCTACCATGAATCCATGAGGTCAGCAGATAAGGTAGGGGGCTGGGCCTCCACTCCAGGAGGTCAAAAGTAAAGTTTCTTCTCTATGGAGTCTTGGAACACACTCACATGTGGAGATTGGACAAGGCTGCTGAAAGGGTCAGGCTGTCTCTATTTCTTGGCTGACCACAGGCAAGTAGGGGCTCAAAGGAACGTGGATATCAGGGAGGGCCTG